AGGGGTTTTTCCGAATTATAGATCATAAGTTTAAATCTGGTAAGGTGGCATGCAGAAATTATACAATTAAAAATATGAAACCGTAATTTATGAAATAAAGAGCAATTATGATCTAAAGGGTATCAAAATTTACAAAAAAAAAAAAAAAAGCTTAATATTTATTTGTTTACTTTATGAAATATTTCTTTCAATGTAAGTTGTTTAAGTTGCTTCGTTTTTTGTGCTAATACTTTCTCTTTAATTCTATAAACAGACATAATTTCTTGTTCAGTTACAAAGTTCAGGGTCCTGTAATTGCCGTGTCGAGACTACCGACTAATTTGTCAATCGAAATTTTTTCGTTTTCAATAATTTCTCTGTCACTTTCTTTACTATCGGAAGCGTGCATGCGTAAGTTTGTGGCTTTGAGGTCCAGATTATAGATTATTCCGGATAATGGATGTCCGGATTACGAACTTAGTACTGTATTATCTATTTTTAAAATTAAGAATTTATATTAAACAATAGGATGATATTGTCAGTAATTTTGCACGTCTTCTACATGTAATAAACAAATTGGTTAAAATTATTGAATAAAAGAATTATACTCAATAAGAAGAAAAGTTAACATTCAATTTAAATAAACTGTTCTGTTTAGCAGTATTCTTTCTGTTTTATTTAAAGCTTCAACAAAGAAGAGAACACGCCAAAATAAAACTTAAAGTTAGGCTAAAAATCAGCTTTGTGTTTGGTGTAGATTTAATTGAAACTGTATAGATATCTAAACAGGTACAGCTCCTTCTTCATCAAGAAAAAAAAAAAAAAATTCTGCAAAGAAAGCAGCAGCCGACCATATTTATACCAAAAACAATGTGTGGAGGAAAGTGAAACGATTGTAGTGCCATCTGCCCAAGGAAGTAGTAAAGAGTCATAAAAGAAACATGAAACATTAGATTTTCTTGATGCTTTTTACATTCACAAAAAATTGTCTTGGTTATTTAGTGACATTAATTCCAACCCAGTCCTTCCTAATACTTTTAAAATTGTACTAATTTATTTTTTCGTAATTCTTTATTATTTCCTTGGACAGATGGTGGTATGCTCATTTTCACTTTTCTGCACCCTTCTTTTTGGGTATAAATATGGTCATGACTCGCACTTCTTTGCAGAATTTTCTTGTTCTTGATAATGGGGGACCTGTACCTATTCATCCTCAAAATCAGTAGAGTTACAGTTAAATTCTATATCAAACGCAAGGTTGATCAATGTAATAATTGTTGTAATAATATAATTTATCTTTGGATTTATGTGTGTACCAATCCACAATAATTTAAAAATATTTACTTTGGAAAAGACAGCAATTCCTAAAGTACTTTTGTATATATTAATGGTTCCAGATTTGGCTCCCTCAAGGGTCTATTTAAGTTGCGTTTTTGGACTGCAGTTTGTGATGGTAAGCATATAATTAGTTACTATATATTCTGGCGTATAATAAACACCTATGATTTCAAGCTATATTTTTTAAGTTTTAGGTTTATTCTCTGTATTCTCCACATCCTTTTCTTTACGAAGAAGCATAAAAGATACATGCGTGATGCTCTTATTCTTTGAAAGTATTCATTTGAAGATTTTCCCCAGGCTTTCAAACAATGGTATAAATAATTGACAAGTGATAAGGGGAACTATATGTATATGATTGATGTGAAAGGCGCAAAATGGCTTACATAAAACAACAGATCTCGAAAAATCTCTCCTCATCATAGTGCTTTAGTGGACGGTACAAAAATTTAAAAAATCCATGGTTATTTTTAAAAGAAAAACGGTGCTGATGGTGCCAAAATGTAATTTCCCAAATGGGATTTTCATTCAGGTTCACAAGAAAGGTTGGATGGACGAAAACAATGTAAAATTGTGGGAGAGAAACGCTTGACAAAAGTGTCTTGTTGCCTTCAAGAATCCAGAAAGACTTTTACATGATATGTTCATATTTCCATCTAATCGATAATACGAAGAAATTTTTGAAAGAGTGTGATACAGACATGCCAATTATTCCAGGCGGATTAATGCCATTAGTTCTTGTGTGTGAATAGATAATAAAAGCATGGAATGATATTGAAACCTAAGTAATTCAAAAGTCATTTAAAAAATTTAGTATTTCTAATAATCTAGATAGAACAGAAGATGCTTATTTATTTATTGATCAGAGTTACAGTGATTGTAAAAATGAAACAGAGTTCGATGATGGGCCTGAAGATATGACAACGACTTAATCTTATCCAATACTAAAAATATTAAAACTCATAAGCTGTATCATAGTTTTTAATTTAAATAAATGGAATTTAGGTGCATATGGAAGTCTAATTTTTGTATGCTCATCTTTTTGTTATTTTAAAATCTATCATTTTTATATCTGGCATATAATGCACATCCGTAAAATTCTATCTTATTTTTTTGTATTAAAAGTGCGCATTATACGCCAAAATATACAGTATACAAAGTTCTGGAATAATAAAGTGAGGTTGAACAAGTTATTTAAGATTCTTGTTTAATACTTTGCATGCTTGAGATTGTTGGAAATATAAAAAGTGTATATAAATTAAAAAATTCAGTTTATAATGCTAAATTTTGTTAAACCAGTTGCAGATGACAGTAAAAGATCTCACAATTTGCTATCACTGGTTTACATTATTACATTGCATTTATTAAATTTTGTACAGTTGGCCTTCAAAACAAGAGCTTCTGAAAGCTTATTTCCAAAAAAAGGCATAACTGATAAAAAAAGTAAGTATCAGTCCTTATAAGACCATTAATGACACCACATAAATTCTATGATGTTCTGCAATTTTATTTGAGCATGATAAAATTTTCCACAATTTACTTTGAATGAAAATAAGCGGAAAAGCCCTGTTTACATGAAATTTCAAAAAACTACCCCTATTTCCAACTGTGTACTTCACTAAGCCCGAGAGCCAGCCATTTCGGAGGAAATGATGTTACTTCACCCCATATATATATATATGCGGCTTAAGTGTCTGTTTGTCGCCGATAGTTTATTGGTTGCTTGCCTAACTCTACTAGCCCAATGGGGTGAAGTTGCCATGGCGCACATGGTTGCCGTTTCAATTGAGACATAGACAATTTCCTGTAAAACTTGCCTTTGACCATCAATAAGTCTCAGGGTTTAAACGCTTAAGCGTGTTGGCATTTTTTTACCTGAGCCTGCATTTGCGCACAGTCAACTTTATGTTGCCTGTTCAAGACTTCGTGAAAGAACAGACATAAAATTAAAAATAATGGATGGTCCTCTGCAAGGCGAGCTTAAAAATGATGGAAAGATCTACCTAAGAAATGTTGTGTACAAAGAGATCTTTCACATGTGAATTAACATTTTATTATTTAAATCACCTTCATTTATTGAGCTAGAGGTGGTTTTTAAGAAATGTACCGCCAGTGGTTTCCTTCATTGCACTCTACTTTAAGCAATTAAGCAAGTAGAAGGGGGAAACTCCTTGGGGCAGTAAGCAAAGGAGCAGCCTCGCCGCCTGCCCTGGGTAATTCAGTTAGAGTTAGCAGACACCTTTGCAGAAATCATTTTAATTACAATTTATAATATTTTGCACAAATCATTTTAATTACAATTTATAATATCTAAACCAGCGGTCATTTCGTATGACCGCCAGGCTTTCTAACATATATATAAAAATGATGTATGAAAATTAACTGCTTAAATGATGATGAAGAGGAAACTGGGAAGCTGAGGCAGATTTTATAAGAAGCACTCACAACAAATTTAAATAATATTTCTTTTACTTTTAATTCTCGTTTATGGTTGCAAATAACTTGGTACTCTAATCATGCCTCTTTCAGAACATTAACATTTCCATAGCTTTGGAATAGCAAGCAAAGCAGCAGTCTAACTAGGCTGAGGAGCAGAAATGAAGTGTCATGTCAGGATGAAATTTTAATTCACATGATGTATTTTGACTAAATAATTAATAATAAAAGAAAGTCTGAAAGCTTTCAGATTTTATATTATGCCCCAAAGGGTGATTTTTAACGTTTTCGTGTGGTACTTTTATTATCATGTTCTTCGCACTTAAACCATAAAATTCAATTCAATAGCAATATCACAAATTAATTTATGAAGAGCATATCTTTAAAATTTCCGATACACAGTCTCTCGCGTTGCAGATTTGTTTCTTTATACAGTGTTGCCATTGCTTGCTTTGAACCGCTAAGTTTGTTAATCCAAAATTTTGTTAGTTTTACAAAATATGAAATAGATAATAAAACATATTCCAAATTAGGGCTTCCAGATGCCCATATTCGGAGGAGGATTACATTAACGTTACACCGGAGATAAAAATGTCCCCCTCCCATACAGTGTTGCCATTGCTCGCTTTGAAATCGTTCAGTTTGTTAATCAAAAATTTGTGAAAGTTTTACAAAATATGAAATAGATAATAAAACAAATTCCAAATTTTGTCTTCTAGACGCCCATATTCGAGTGGAAGACTACATTATTCAAAATTTAATGTCTCTAGGTGCTGTTGTTTTTTCACAGTGGGAGAAACATACATACATTCATGCAGATTTCATTATTTAATTTCTTTAAATATAATGAAGGACTCTTAATAGATGGTAGCAACAACTTGAAAAGTGAAACGTCGTTCATAGTGAACCAATGTAGAATGCCAAAACAAAATTAATAGCCGTTCTGGGCAAATTGCCCCTTTTGGGCTAAAAGCTCTAAAATTATTATTCGCTGTTTTGAGTTTTAGTTCTCAAAACTGGTATTTACATCACCAGTGTTATATAAAAGTCATATGATACAGATTATTCTGGAAGTGACCCAGTCCAATGAAATTTTACTACAAGCAATTACTGTTTTTAGCACAGAAAGAGGAAATGCCCAAATTAAAATGAATTAAGGGACAATTGCAAATTTAATTTAGAATTTTGATTTACATCTTTCTTATCTTACACATATATATATGTATTTTTTCTCTTCCTTAATTTAGGTTCGTATGCAGAAATGGTCGTTAAAATTGGATGACATAAATTCTGATGACGAAGGAATTTATACCTGCATTGTTTCAAATACTGAAGGAAGCATACGTTTTAATTTCACATTGGTAGTTACTGGTTAGTGCAAAGGTTTCTTTGAGTTCTGTTTTTTTATTTCCTTCTCAAACAGATAAATACTAATGAGTTTATATGCATACTGAAGGATATATTTTTACATATTTGTTTGATTTTAAATACCTAAAAATTAGAAAAGTAACATACATTTGTCTATTTGTGACTATACAATCAAACCTTATTATAATCATCATCGCAACAATCCAGGGTGGACCAAGGCCTTCTGAACTAGATGTTTCCAGCTACTTCTACTAGCTGCCAACCTCCTTCAATTGTTAGTTTTAAGGAGTAAACAATCCTCCTGTACAGCATCTACAGGGTTCGTAGCGATCCTTACAAGTGTTTATAAGTCCTCATATTTGAAAATAAAATATAAAGACCCTTATAGGTGCTTACTTTTTCTTTAAAGCCCTTATTTTTTGTTTTTAGTGCTTATTTTTTGCTTTTAGTGTTTTTTTTAATCCTTTGTTTTTAATGAACACACATTTTTTTCCCTGTACCAAAGCCGAAACTAAATAAACAACTTTTCTTCCTTATATGCAACATCAGATGGTGAATTATACTTCCAGAAATTGCTTCCCCCCCTTCCTCTGCATTAACGTAACCTATGGTGCGCGCGAGAGTACAGACAGGTGCACGTCGTTCTATTGGCCAAAGAATTGAAAACGGTAGAAAATTCCGGTACATTTAGTATTCTTTTTCTCCCACCCAAATACTGCACACGTTTGAATTTTTAACAAGATTTTAATAATTTGCATTCTCGTTCCGCGTGGTCAGTTCATATTCGTGTTTATTATGATCGTTATGCTTATATCATGAGCATATGTATGAATATTTATAATAATACAGTTGCAGTAACTACTGAAGTATAGATAAACTTCCAAAAATGGGTGTGTTTTTACACAGATTAGCTTTCTAAGGAATAATATTCGGAATGGCTCAAATAAAAGGAAAGTAATCGAATAGTCAAAATAATTTCATTTTCTTTGCCAATACGTTATACAGTATGAAGGTTGGCAGTTTCTCCGCAAAATCTCTAATATTGAAGCAGCGGACTTTTTTTTTGGTCACTGTCCAATCTGGATTGAATAGGACTAAAAGTTTTTTCGATCTACCCAACCCAAGCGAAGATTGATTCTACTCCGGAAATTTAATACGGTCTGTTGAAAATTAGAATCAGAAACACCCCAGATTAGTTAAGTCTCTTTCTTTCTCTTTTTTCCCCCTTTATTTAGTTCTTTATTCTCCGAATATTGGCAGGTGTTGATTCCGATTGCATAATATCACATATGGAAGAATTATGCCACATGTATTGTGCAATAACGTTTGCACGTACTGTGCAATAACGTTTGCGGTATTTTGCATTGATAATTAATTTGAACACTTAAAAGAGTTTTACTGTACTTTCTAAGCAGAATATTTCTGAGTTCCGTTGGTCTATTTTTATATGATGCACATATCGAAACGTCAAAATAATTTATTTGGCCGAGAAATCTAAAGAACGGCTACAATCTCCCTCACTCCTCTTTTTCCAGTTACTATCTGGAATATTCGGGAATTTCCGAGAATGCGGGTTAGTTAAGCTTTTACTGTTAAAGGATGACTGAATGAAGCAATTTCTCGTCTTCTGATTTCAGAAATGTGCCTCTTTTTTACTCAAATTACTTTGCTTGGATATATGTTAAGGGGAAAACTGTTATGCAATGAAAATTTAGAAATGTTCAGAATTTGATTTAAGTTAAATTATTTAAATATTAATATGAATGGAAAATAATTGTATTTTTATTAGGTGCCCAATGCAATACAATTAATATGGCGTATTATTATTTATTTTCTATATTTTCAACTGAAATATCATCATTAAATCTTGTAATATAGTTTAGTTCTGCAAAGGTTTTTTTCTCTCATTGTAAACTAATTCTGTAAATTGAACTGTCATTTAAAATTAAAAAAAAAAAAAGTTAATTGTTTTCCATTGTTGAGGTAATGCTCATTCTCTTAATAAATATTGCATTGTTCATATTTTAAATTACAAGTCTAATTTTTCTTTTAAGGTTATGCAGTTGTGTATAATGTAATTAGACAGGTGCTTATTTTTTCCTTAAAATGTGCTTGAAAAGTGCTTATAGGTGCTTACTTTTTTAACTAAAATGTGGCTATGAATCCTGATCTAGCTATCGAAGTCAGTGGTGTAGCTAAAGGGGGCAAGGGGGAACATTTGTGCCCAGGTGCAGCCTTCAGAGGGCACCAAATTGCTGTTACAAAATTTTAAAAGTAATTTTTTTCCATTTTTAGTAAACAGGAGAGGGGCACGGAATCCTCAGTTGTCCTTGAGCACTGAAAACTCTAGCTACGTCTCTGATTGAAATCTAGGTCTTCCTCTTCTTGTGTTACCTGGTCTAGCCAAAAAATTTTCTTTTAGTATTTTATTGTCATTCATACACATAACATGCCCTACCCAATTGAGGCAGCTTATTTTAATGTAATCATCAACATCTGGCTCTTTGAGTGTTGTGTCTTCTATGCCAGATACCATTTTCCTGAATTCCTCTGAAATCACTTCTCAAGACTTTGCATTCAAAATTACCCAAGATCCGTTCCTTCTTCACAGTCATAATCCAAGTATTTGAAGCATGAGTCAAGACAGGCCAATAAATGCTTTAAAACATGAAAATCTTTATTAACCTAACAAAACTAGTTGTGTTTCTATAGAATGTACACAGATTGTTAAGTCACTTGTTGAGTTCCTGTTTTGACTGTTAGGTCATATCCAAACTCATGGTGTGGAAAAATTATATTTCAAGAAGAAAATTATATGATGCAAGTGCACTGATTTAAAAATTAATCCATAAATAATAAAATGAAATAAAAATTGTCTCTTGAAATCAGCAGAGCAGTGGTTCTCAACCAAGGGGGATTCCCCCCTAGAGGGAATTTCATAGTTTCAGGGAAGAATGCAGTCAGCCTTTTATTTAGCTCTTTCCTCTGTGCTCATCTTCAGAGATGTTGGATTCTCACGTAAGTATTTTGGACAACCAGAAAAAATTCATGTATAAGCATCATTTATTATTTAGGGTATCCTTTACAAACTTAAACAACAATGACTTGCTCTTTTCATAAATAATCGCACCGAATGTTACCATCTTCTCAAAAATATTTCTCACATACAACGCTCACTTGGAATTTTTTTATCTAGAAATCCCGTTTTAATGTATCTTTTGGAAACTTGACTACCTGTATATATTCATTGGTTTTATCCTAATACGATTTGCAGCTTGGAACACAACATCATGCAGGCATGAAAGTAAACTTAACTCATTTTAGCTCCACATAGAAGTCGATAGGTATATTTATTAACAAATATTAAAGAAATAAGTAAATTTAACTATCAGTATGAATGTAAAAACCCTAACAACGCTACTACATTACTTAACCCAAATTTAGTAATAAAAAATACATAAATAATGAAAAAACACAATGCAACGTTAATGAACAGCACACAAACCTAACGTAGAAATTCTTCGCTTGCAGTGTCCGCAGTGTAGCCCGAAGGGTGAAAGTTCAGACCCCTTTCATGACGTCAAATCACGGGACTTTGAAGCTGACCAGGCCATTTTAATTCAAGAAGGTCACAGACAAGCATGGCAGGCACGTGAGGGGGAAGGGAATTATTCACTCATCGAGCTATTTCACCATCAAGATATGATTTTCTTTAAAGGATTTTATCTTGCCAGTATGCATGACTTATTAGTTAACTTATTAGTGTATCTATTTATATATTTATTAATTGTAAGAGAGTTATGTGGTAACAAGATTCCCAAGTAATTCCATTTTCAATTAAGATTTTATAAAAATGTAAGTTTTCTGTTTGCGTGAGTTATTTTGCTAATTGATTACGATTTCAAAAAACTTTGATGGATTGTGTAAACATTCCATCTGCATAATTTTGGAAACACTAATATAACTTCCGCTATATCAGAGGTTTAGCCCGGAATTTTGAAATGTGGTAATTTTGTTTTATTTGACACTGACATAATTTTCTAACTAACTATATGTAACTTCTTTATATCCCATGTTTGTAAACAATTATAGTAAATATATTATTAGCAACCTCTATTATGCATTTCATTTCTACTTGATGGCAAAATGGCTCATAACGAAACAGGGACTGCCAAATGGTTACAAGGAAAAGTCCTAGACCTGAGTGAAGTGGCTATAATAATGGTAAAAATAAACATTAAATAAAAAAAAAAAAATAAATGAAAAAATCTGTAATATTAGATATATATGTGTATCAAAATAGAGTTAATTTATGTGGATTGTAAAAGTTTCTGTATTTTAAACAATTTGTTTATTATTGTATAAACATTAAAAAAATTTTTTTTTGCCATAGCACATAGTTCATAAATGTTACTAGTTAAACAAGATAACTGCAAATAGTTGTTGTTATGAAATAACTCGTTGATGTACAACTACCAATTGAATGAAATTATTTTCATAGCATTAAACATTGCAAAATCAGTGTTATCTGTATCTTTTCATTTCCTTAATTTGGAAAGAAGAATATGTACTCTGCTTACAACTTGCAATAGACTCATGAAATGACATATATGTACAAATAGAATCTATGAATCTAAAATGTAGCAGGCCCTGCCGTAGCAGCTTATTTAATTTTATGGTGACTACGAATGAGTCTCGTATTAAAATGCATTTTGATGTCTGCAAATGGACTCATCTTGTTCAAATAGTTTCTGTTGACTAATACGGAAATAGTCCTATTTGCTGAACTGACTTTGTTCCTGGATATATAGCACAGTAATTTTAGAATAGCATTGAAGGTGTAATGTGTGGAAATTGAGTAAAATTAGTGAATATAGATGCTGTAATATGTATTACTTTTTTGCATAATTAAGTCGGACTGCTTGTAAAATTTGTGCTGTGTATGAATATTGTTTCTGCTTCTGCACAGACAGTAACTACTGTTTCTGATGGCAAAGTTTGAAAATGATTAGAGCAGTTTATATGCAGAAATTTCAGCTTCGAAGATGATGCCAGTTTTGGATGATTATCTTCTGTAAACAAGAAGCTGTTAAAAGAAGCCATCTCTGAAAATAAGTTTCACATGTGATTCTTTGGTAAAAAAGAAAGAAAGAAAAAAGCTCCTTTTTAAACTGCTGATTACTGGAAAGGAAAAGAGGATATTAGACAATAATGTTTCAAGAAAAAGATCATGGGGTTAGTCAGTAGTTCTAGCCATTCTTACCACAATATCCTTTAGTGACATTAAATGGGAAACTGCATCTATACAAAAGTAATGCCTTTGATCGAATTACAAAGAAACTGTGTACTATGCATTGTTGGCATCAAACCAGACAATAAATTTTGAAGAATACTGCTCTTAAATGGAAATTTTAAAAGCAGATTTTTTGTATAACCCTCCACATTCACTAGACTTTTCTTCTTCGAGTTTTCATGTCTTTAGAGCACTTCAAAACTCTCTGAACAGCCTGGAGTTCACTTCTTTGGAAACTGTCAAACAGCAACTCGAAAATTTCTTTACGAATAAACGTTATGATTTTTTTAAAAAAGAATTTTCCGTCTGTTGAAGAGATAACAAGAAATTATAGAACTAAATGGTGTTTATCATAATTCAATGGAATTTTCTCATGTTTTTATGCTGCATTTTTATTTATAATAATAAAAATTTTTTAAAAATTAAAAAAAAATAAAGATGAAGAACACAGAACTTTTTGAATGACCCAATAGTTTTAACCTGCTAAAAGAAGTAAAGCTTTATTAAGTAAGAAATAATTTTGATGGATTTATTTATTTAATTTGCCTTTCTACTTTAACAAATGATTATTCACTCATTCAGGTTTTCTGTTGCAGATAGAATAGCATATCAACCTATCATAATAGAAGATTTTGCTACTAACCAGACAGCTTATGTTGGAGAAACAGTTGTTCTTGAGTGTAAATTTTCCAGTGATCTTCATCACACAGTTCAGTGGGTAAAGTATTTTGAAATGAATGGATCTTCAGCTGACGAGTTTGGTGTGCCTTATGGAAAAATTGTTGAGGTATGGTGTTGGAAGAATGTAATTTGTATGTTACAGTTTTCACACAGGGAATCAAAGAGTATTATAGTTAAATTGTATATTAGAGTATTATAGTTAAATAAGGATAAAACTAGAAGAAATGAGAAGGATTGTAGTGTTCATAATAACTCAACTATATATGTTATCCTAATATTTTTTCTGATTATATCAACTTCATAATAGCAAGAATTTTCTTAATTTAAAATAAATTATTAATTAAAGTTAGTTATATAAATTTAATTTTATTGCTGATTTAATCTCATTCAGAAAGAACTGCTGACTAGTTCAGACTATTGTTGTTAACTGTATTTAATATTTTTCTGATTTGTAGATATATTGCAAATGACTTCATTACAGTTATATACTGCTTTAACGTATATGTTATACTGAGCACCTAGTTCAATATGTTTGTTAATTGCATTTAACCCTCTTGCTGCGCATTCTGCGATTTCCACGGTCAACGTGGAAGTAGCAAAATTTGCGCAACCCGCGATTTCCGCAGGGATGAATTTTTGCCATCTATTTAATTGTGCAACCCTCTCTTTCCCCGTTCAAGGTTTCCTTTCAGCTTTTCTGTGATGTTTAATTGTTTATTTAGGTGTGGGCTAACAGATGGCATTAGTTGTCCTCATTTCTGCCAAATATACAAGAATACGTAATGCAGCATTTTGCGTCCGCTTTTCAGAGCCCAAAGGAGTCTGGCAGGAAGTGTTTTGCGAGTGATATAACCTATATTCCTAACAATATTTCCGACACTGATAGTAGTTCTGACTCTGATTTCAAGTATAAGTTAGAAGACAGTTATAGCAAAACTGATGAAAATGTCTCGAATTCCTTAGCAGATAGTGATGAATCTGAAAATTCAGTTTCTATTGAAAATGTTCGACAGTGGTGCAAAATTGATATGTATGTTTTGATTGATTGAAAAAATTGATATATATAGTATATATGTTTTACCTTTGTATTTTATAAAATAAATCATAATTTAACCAATACAGTCAAAAGTCGTTAATTCGGACACCCATAATTCGGAATGATCTATAATCCGGACCTCAAAGCTACAAACTTTCTTGCGTCTGCGCGTGCGCGTCGCATGCGCACAGGCGTTTACAGAGCGCGTAGACCCTTACGGCTGTGAATATGTTTGTGCGCATGCGCGTTTAATGTGTAACGAGTTATACGCTAAGCTAAGTTATCTAATTCATTAATGTTGCAGATTGCGTTGTTCCTTAATCTTCGAATTGGATCCAGGCTTATTATTTTTTGCAGACTGTTAGAGCAATTTTATAAAAGTAAGCTTGAACTTTCGATTATGTCAAATAGAATTTCCGATATATTTTACTACAAAGCAAAGTATGTTTTGAAATCCGAAACTGTTTATCAATTTCACTCTGCTCTGCGGCAGGGGGGGGCATAAACGTCATTATTAGATTATGATAGATTAGAAAGATTATGTCAATAAAATTTCCGATATATATTTACTAATTTGTAATTTGTATCTACAAGCGAAAGTATGTTTTGAAATCTGAAATCTGTTTATCAATTTCACGCGCGGATTGGAAGTATCTGTCAGCACTATCCTTATCTTCAGGCAATGTTTTTATTTTATTGGTTTATAATTCCGTACTAAGTGTAGTCTTTATCTGGAAGCACTTCCCAGAGAACCCGGTAAATGTAAACATCGCCAACTTTGGCGATAATAGTTCAAACCTGGTAACCTGTAGGATTCATTGATTCATCCTATTCGCTTGTTTGAAGGTTGCAACCATTCCTCCTGAGTTCATTTTGTTGAATTATCACTGTCGTTATTCGCATTTGGAGATTTATATTCTTCTTCTCTTATTTATTATTATTTTTTCTGATTTTCCACGTTATTTTTTCTGAATTTTTTAACAACGAATAGATAGAAATATTTTCGTATAATTAAAGAAGTTTTCGTCGATAGATGCCGGTTCTCGGCTCCAATTTTTATGGCGTAAAATTTTAACAAGATACTATATTGTTAATGCTTTTCTAATAATAACCTTTCCGAGGATGGCAGGTGTGACATAAATAATAAATTGGAAATAAAAAATATTATTGATTATCTAAGATGACAGAGTAGTTTGATGCATCCCCATGGTCATCAAAATTAGCAAACCACTGTTGGTGTAAGGAATACAGTTCAAATAACTCTTGAAAAATAATAAAATGTATAAAGTTCTAGTTTTATTAACAATGCTACTAAAGAAAATTTGATTACTGTTGAAGGTTATTTGTATTGTGAAATATATTATAAAAAAGACAGGTTTATTTTCGTATATCACATTTAACCGGTTAGTTTTACATCTACATGCTTATTATCTGTGAATTTTTACAACCATATGCTTAATAGATTGTTTTGTCTGCAACTTGAACTTACATGCACTAAAAATCACGTTTACGGCTCATCGTGGATGAACCTCGAGCTTGGCGAGTAAAAATGCAACGGCGCCAACAGGTTCTCTGCGGATGAAAACCCAAGAAAGGGACCCAGAGGTTATTGAAAATGAAAACATTTCGATTGACAATTAGTCGGTATTCTCAACACAGCAATTATAGGACTTGAACAGCGGAACTTTGTAACTAACAAGAAATTATGTCTGTTTAATAAATTAAAGAAAAGTATTATCACATGAAACGAAGCACTTACATTGAAGGAAATGTTTAATAAGTAAACAAATAAATATTAAGCTTTTTCTTTTTGTAAATTTTGATACCCTTTAGATCATAATTGTTCTTTATTCATAAATTACAGTTTCATATTTTTAATTTTGTAATTTTCTGCATGCCATCTTACCAGATTTAAACTGATGATCTATAATCCGGAAAAATCGATAATCCGGAATCGCCGAAGTCCCGAGGAGTCCGGATTAACGACTTTTGACTGTATTAGTTTTCAAAATTTTCCTTTTATATCATTATTCTTCAATTTCAGTATTCTGACAACCTTTTTCTATGATCTAATTCTATATTGGAAGAAAACTCTTTTACAAAAAATTTTGTATATTTTTAACTCTAAAATATATGTAGATTTGAACAGGGTTGCCACGCTACTGGAAAACCGGAGAACCGGGAAAAGCAGGGAATTCGAAAATTGGACAAATATTCAGGAAAAGTCAGGGAATTTAAGTATTTTTGTCAAAATCTGGAAAAGTCAGGGAAGTTCATACAATTTTGCGATTTTACAGCGATTTTTGCGCCGACGTCGGAAGAGATAACTTTTTTGGCGAATTATGTATCACGTGAGTGTCATTCGGGTAGCTGGCATAGAGCCAATTTTCGCAGCTCCAATTTGATTGTCTTTTAAGCCGTTATCACATTAGCTGTTTGTTGCCGGGACAAAACGTTTGTAGCAACAGTTCTGAGAAACGGCCTTTGGCGAAATAGGGTTACCATCTTCACTTGGCAAACAGGCTGAAAGCCAAACAGATCAGTTATTGCTCAGATTGGCGAAAGTGACGTT